TCCAATGGATGATGATCTGATTAGTCGACTAATCGCAAAAATAATCGGTGACTAGTCGACTATCAAAATAATCGTTTGTGGCAGCCCTAGTTCTGTGTAAAGAAACCTTGCTGGATGCCAGTGCTGCCTGTCAGCGATATTTGTGTGACACCCACCCCTGACCTGTTCCTGTGGACGAGCTGAAGGTCGAGTGGAACTGAAGTCTGACTGCGACTGTGTTTTTGCTGCAGGGAGAAGTGGTGTCACATGACTGATGAGGAGAAGAAGGACAGCTACAAAATCGATGAGAACATCGCCTTTGGCCAGCTGGGGTAACCAAAACACCTCCGTGATGTCCACGTAGTAATAGAAAGAAATCCTAACAAGGAGCGCGAACGCCCGCCAGGGCAGCTCGCTCTCTGGGCAATATTTACTTTGAAGGGAATAGTATTTTATTCTCTGTATATTCATTTTTTCAAACATACTTTAAGAAGTTTGCAGTGCAGTAAAATCAGATGGTGCAGACCGAATGACAAACCAAAACATGAGCTCCTAGGTGGAGGTAATAAAATGGTAACAAAACACAGGTGATGAGATAATAAGTGGTAATTAATAAAATAATCTGAACATCTTTTTAGTGTCTCAAAAAACAAATGAGATGGTTTCAGTCACCTTTCTGTTGCTCGTGTGGGCACACAGTAGCACCTCACATGTAGATACATGACTAATGCTCATAACTTCTGAACCTCTACAATAAGCTTTGATGTATAAATCACACTTTTATAGTGTATGTAAAAAATAATTACATTAAATGTAGCTATACCGCCTTTTTTTGCCTTTTTTTGTAACGTTCTCCTGGCATTGGTCAAACCCTGACTCATCCGTCAGACTGAGAAGTGTTTTTCCACGTTTACGACACTCATGTGAGGCTCGCTGCTCAGCCATGAAGCCCCTGTCACACATTTTAAGCGCTGATGTTAATGCAGATTATGTTCTTCAGATCCCCCCCTCAGTAACTTTACATGACGTGACGACTGGTGGCCGAGCGGCTGTGGTTCCTAAGTGCTTCCGCTTTGCAGTAACATCATTTACAGCTGATCGTGAAACGTGTGCATGGCAGAAATTTCACAAACTGACTTGTTGCATCAGTGGTAACAGTGGTGTTACAGAGCCACGCACGTGTTGCAATGTCTGTTAATGCAGACAGTATTGCAGATTAAATACAGATTAAAAGGTGGGGGCCATTACTTTAGTCCTACATAAATCCACAAAATGATTAATAAAAGGTGATAGGTGGCTACAAAACCTCTGCAGCTGGGCGTATTGGTGTGTCCCAGTAGCAGATTTTTGTTTCGCCATTATCATTAACATTATAATATTACATGTGTAATCTATAATATCTGTAATGCTGTTACTGAGGTGTTTCAGTCGTATAGTTACTGTAAAACACGGTTATATGTGCCAACGACTGCACAATTTTGTTGTGTGTTTGTGATATTTTCCTCTTGTACTGAGACCATGTTGGTGCTGTGTGTATTTTCAGGACGTTCACTCACAACATGCTGGCGTTTGGTCTGAGTAGGAAGCTCTGCAATGACTTCCTGAAGAAGCAGGCAGTTATTGGGAACCTGAATGAAGGTAAAGCATGAAGTAGCCTTGGATTGATCCAGTTT